CCGCTCACTCTCTCTTGCTTGCTCGCTCACTCACTCACTCTCGCTTGCTCGCTCACTCACTCACTCTGCTTTCAAGATCGCTGTATAAACCACCTATAGACAACGTGGTTGCTGTAGTCAAAAGCCACCTGTTCTGCTACTAGTTATGCTCTGACTAATAACACCAGCCAGAAATGGCATGGTGGCCAGCATTCACTGGATGCGGATTTGATGGGGAGCGGAGGATGGTTGGGAGGCAGTGGCAGAGGGGTGAAACAAGTTTTGGGCAAGATGGTGTGACAGTAGGGGTAGGGTTCAGATAGAAAGTGGATGGTAATCTGTGGGTACAGTAATCTGTTTGTTAACCAGCAAGTGGGTCTTTCTTAGCGGAACCTTTTACAAATTGACATAGAGAGTAAAGAATGGGATAAAGATTAAAGAAAACACACCCTGCCACAAAGCCCAGCTAGCATTATGGGCAGTCGGACTAGCAGGAGACTAGCTGGTTTGCTCGGAAGAGAAGTCAGTCTACATCAATCTTACTGTCCGAGGTAAGATCGTGTCAAAGATGATCTGGGAGAAGAGAAAGGCGGTTTCCGATAGGTCTCTGTCGATATCCAAATTTGGAGAGTTGGGTCGCAGCAGTGCATCACTGGAGCTGCTCCACCCATTGGGAAGTGTGCCCCCAATACACCGCAAAATGCACTCGGCCTTGAATATATGCGCCTTTGTGAACAACACCTGCAAAGGGAGGCAGAAAGAATGGATCAAACACCACAAAAGCCAAGAACATGTTAGCAAACCGTCGCAAAATAAACAAAGCAAGAAAAAAGGAGCAGGATGAGGGCCGAGGGGAAAGAAGAGGAAGAGGAGGAGAAGCAGAATTGCAGGGGAAGAGACACATTATCGAAGAAGAGGCATCATCGGAAGAAAAAGCTAATACGGATAACTGAAAACGAAACAAAATCCATCCAGTAGCACTGACTTGGCATCTCTCTCTCTCTCTCTCTCTCTCTCTCTCTCTCACACACACACACACACACACACACACACACACACACACACACACACATGT